CACTGCTCTACAGTATTCACTGCTTTACAACCAGAGTTAAATCCTGTATTGTGGGGTATCGTCAGTTGCTTAGGATTTCTTCTACATTATGTAGTACCACAACTTAGAAAACAATTACCATGGTTGTGTCTTGCAAGACCTGTCTTACGTAGTCACGAACATGCACAATTCGAAGTACGCGAGCCAGTTAAAATCATGTGGTTTGAGAAAGCATATGTTTGTTTGTGCTTTCTTGAGAGGAATATCCTTTATCCAATTGTATTTTTAGGTGCACTTACTGAATGTTCATCGAAGATAGTATCAAAATTTGGAGAAAATGTTGGAGCATTAATTATCGTTGTATGCGGCTTAAAATCTTTACGCTCGTCATATTCTGATCCGTCAACTCGTTATTTAGTTCTCGTTTTCGCTGTTCTTTTTTTTAAAATAGATTTTCGTGATTTAAGCGAAACATTTTTAGTAGATTATTTTGTAACAGGTATAGCATTTGCCAAAATTTATGAATTGTTATTAAAGATACGATTTATTGTAACATATATTGCACCATGGCAGATTACTTGGGGTAGTGCTTTCCATGCTTTTGCCCAACCATTCTCCGTTCCACATTCTGCAATGCTTTTTCTTCAAGCAGGTATATCTGCTATGTTAAGTACACCGTTAAATCCACTCTTAGGAAGTGCAATTTTTATATCATCGTATGTACGTCCAGTTAAATTTTGGGAACGTGATTATAAAACGAGAAGAGTTGATCACTCAAATACTCGAATGTCTTCACATTTAGATCGTAATTTAGGCGCAGATGATAATAATTTAAATTCTATATTTTATGAACAATTGACACGGTCTCTTCAGCATAGTCTTTATGGTGATCTTGCCCTCGGTCGTTGGGGTAATGTAGAGCAAGGAGATTGTTTTCTTTTAGCATCTGATTATCTAAATTGTTTAGTACATATAGTGCAATTAGGAAATGGTTTAGTTACTTTTCAATTAAGGGGTCTTGAGTTCAAAGGAACATACTGTCAACAAAGAGAGGTATTATTTATGTGACTATGCACATTAAATATTGTTTTATAAATCTAATATCTAATTTTTTGTTTTTCTTTTTTTATTTGTAGGTCGAAGCAATATCTGAGGGTATTGAAGACAATGATAATTGTTGTTGTTGTGAAATGGGACATTTTTCAAATGTACTTAGCGTCAATGCAGCTTTTAGTCAGAGATGGCTTGCTTGGGAAGTTGCAAGTGCCAAGTATGTACTTGAAAGTTATTCGATTTCGGATAATTCAGCTGTATCAATGCTGCAAGTCTATGAATTTCGTAAAGTATTAATTACTTACTATGTCAAAAGTATTGTTTTCTATGCTCTTAAGTCTCCAAAATTAAAAACTTGGTTGGAAAATCAAGATATTGCTGATGCACTTAAAACAACATTGGAGAAAAATTTTGCGGATCTTGACCCAGTTTTCAATATGAATATTGATGAAGATTTTGACTTTCGAGCAAGTGGTATAACAAGACATAGTTTTTGCAATGTTTACCTTGATTGGATACAATATTGTGCAACAAAGCATGATAAGGTATAATACTTTTTTACTATTCACTTTATAATACACGATTACTCTTAGGTCTATTTTAATCTTGTATTGTATATATTTTTTCAGTCGTTAGAAAGAACACGTGATTCAAATCTAGTATCGCTTTGTCTGGGATTAAGTCTTTTAGGAAGACGGGTTTTAGGAGCTGCATCTCACAACACTGTGTCAAGCGTTGAATTTTTTTTATATGGTCTGCATGCACTATTTAAAGGTCTAGTATATTATATATATATATTTATTTCATTTTATTTTACTTTTAGAAAATATAAATATATTCATATATTTTATTGTGATATAGGAGATTTTCGAATAACATCACCACGAGACGAATGGGTACTTCATGATGTTGAATTACTAAGAAGTGTTGTAGCTAAAGGTGTAAGGATGGCCTTGAAATTACATCAAGATCATTTTATGAGTTCAGAACAATATATAGAATGCTGTGCTCTTTACGAAGCCATTGACAATCATGATAAAAATCTTGTGATTAGTCACGAAGCTGATCCTTTATGGAGAAATGCTGTTTTAAGCGGAGCACCTAGTCTTTTGGCACTTAGGTAGATAAAATATTTTTCTCTACATATAGTGAGTCACAGGAATATTGTTACCACTACTATAAATTTAAAAAAACATTATTTAAAATTTACAGTGGGAACGGGTACGAATATTCTTATGACTCATTTTATATTAAACTATTTAAATTTAAGAAATTGAATAGTATTTGATTACATATTGTTTCTTAGGCATGTACTTGATGATGGCATTGATGAATATAAAATAATAATGCTTAATAAACGTTACTTAAGCTTTCGAGTAATTAAAATGAATCGTGAATGTGTTCGTGGTCTTTGGGCTGGTCAACAGCAAGAATTAGTCTATTTAAGAAATCGTAATCCTGAACGTGGTTCTATACAGAACGCAAAACAGGCATTAAGAAATATAATTAATAGTTCTTGTGATCAACCAATTGGATATCCAATTTATGTTTCGCCATTAACTACAAGTTATGCAGAAACTAATGAACAGTTATGTTCCATAGTTGGAGGTCCTTTAAGTTTTGCTACCATTAAATCAACTGTATTAAAATTGTGGCGAAGGTATAGTCTCTGTATAACAGATACGTAGGATTATGTATTATGAATACAAATATGACCAATATTTATATTCCAGAGTAAGAAGAAGATGTGGTCAAGGTTGTTCATCGGGTGGAACAGGATCGCAAGATGATGGAGGATTTGGAAATGATGCAGTATATTCTATGACTACATACAATATCCATTCCGGTATGCAGAAATATTACATTATATCTTTGTCTAAATATGAACAAACCATAATTATTTATCTACTTATATAATAGGATATGGACAATCAGGTCATAATACATCTGGATCACAATCAATGGAATCTGGATGTCAAATTGGTGGTTCAACAGGACGTGGTTCCTTAGGTCGAGCAAATACAAATTCCCTTGGCGGTAATAGAGGTTCACTCGCTTCCGTTGGAAAGCCCACTAGCTCAACACTTGCCAGTTTGGCTGGACTTCTTAGTAATACTGACATCAAAACTGAAAGTAAAAGCGAAACCAGTTTTTCCAATAAACTTGATAAAGAAGAAGTGTTTCAAAGAGTTCGTGTAAGTATAAGAAAATATTATATCAAGATCTAATTTGATTTATTTATTTTTCCTAATTTTTTTTATGTATGCCTTCACAATTAATCTTGAATATTTTATCTTTTTTTCTACTAAAAATTTGTTTTATTTATTGGATAGATTATGGACCCAAATCAAGTATATGATGCAATTAATCTTGGTCGTCGAATAGATGTAATTTGGCCGGATGAAAAAATGAGACAGCAAGGTGGTCGATCTGGTTGGCAACATTGGGTACCAGAAAGGGGAATGGAAGGGTGTGTTGTCCACCGTTGGTCACCAAATCATCGCGATCCAAATCGACGGTCACACGTTGATAAAGTTATATTGCTTGTTAAAATCGATGATAAATATGTTCCAATAGCAGAACAAGGCGTACGAGATCTGGGTGCAGAAGTTTAGTCAAATATTTTTCCATATATTATAAAATCATATTCTGATAATTCTATAGATCAATTTTTTAATCTATATATTACAATAATATATAAAATTGTCGATTGTGGTAAATGCATTCCAACTTAGTAAAAATGGAGACTATTTTGAGTCATAAGAATATTTTTAAATTAATTCATTATTGATAAAAAATCAAGCTTAGTTTGAATAATTATTTTTGACATAACCAAGTATAATAATGCAATTTAATTTATTTTAAATCATAATTTTTTTTTCATTTGAATAACACCCTTGGAATAGAATCAAGAATTATCGTAAATATCAACAAATAATAGATAGATATTTAATCCTGAGCATATGAAACTTACTTATAGATAAATATATTTTAATACTTTTTAACAAAACCAAAACTACAGAAACACTATTTTTCTTCATTTTCTTGAATACATAAAAAGAATTATTGAGTTATGGAGTGCAAAGTAAATTGTATCATGTTGTACTATATTGTGTATTATATTACTATTAGTTGACTTACGAAATACCATATAAATATGATGCTACTTGTTGTTAAGTAAGTTGTAAAATTGCTTTTATAGGGTAAAAATTGTAAATATATTCATTCTTCACTAATTTTTGACATTAGAAATGTATATAATTTTAATAATTCAGGTATGATATAGTAGATATTATATTTGAATAACATATTTTTGCTGTTATTATTAAATAGAATGAATATATTCAATAACAACAAGAGGCATCAATAGAAAATTGTACATAAAACCATTTGTGTTTTTCTACATTTTGTTATATTTTTTTTAACTACTTGGTAGGGATGAATTGTAAATTGTAAATAAGAACACATTTGCAAAAATTAAAGCGTCCAAATGTATCTAATGAATGTATAATTTCATGGGGCCATACATTTGCCTCTACATACATATCGGTAAACTAAAACCAATAACATCTTATCTGTAATTTAAATAATACAATTTTATTTTTATGAGCAACATAATTTTTTGAATTATTTAGAAACGCGCAATAGAAATAATAAATAGTACTAAGAAAGTTTCTTTCACTGCTGTAATATATTGTACAATATTTTGTTATTGCAACAAATTAAGTGCATGTTATTATATTCAAAGTTTTTCATTTAAATATTAAGATATTCCATTTAAAATTCTTAATATTTTGTTTATACTAGTACAGATCAGGTGTTAGGTGCAAATGTTAAATAATTACAGAATATATATATATATATATATGTATATACAGAAACTGTTTTGTGTATAAAAACAGAAAATATGTATATACATATATACATATATATATATATATATGTATATATTACAGAACCTATATATATATATAGGTATATATATACCGGTTATCTACATTATAAGAATTATAAGATTACTTGCAAAAATTTCTTAAATTTTGCTATACATTTTTCTTATTAACTAACTGTTCAATTATGTTAATAACTTTTTGCAAGTAATCAATGAAGAGTCACAATAATGCCTTATCATGGTGTTTTAAACACACCTGACTGATAAAAAACTTAGCTAGTCTTTTAATTAATAACACTTACATATTGCTTGCTGCCGAAACGAAAAGATACAAGCTCTATTATTAGAAATTATATGGATTGATAACTTTATTATATTGCTGGCTTAGTTTCATACATAGCTTGTACAGAATTGTTTTTTATTATTAAGAATAAATATAAAATTTTAATCGAATTAAATATTACTCTATTTGCATACCTGCATTTAAATATGACATTTATATTTTAATTTCAATAATCTCTTTAACATATTATTATATTTTTAATTCCATCTACAAATCTAAGTTTCACTATAAAAGCATAAAAGTAAGATAAAAGGAATAAACGATGTCACAAGTGCACTCTCTGTTTGAATAAACATCTCAAATTGTAAAAACAACTGATATTTTATGTAAATAAATAAATTAACCACTTTATAGTTACGTTACATCATTATGATCAAATATTATAAAACATAATAAATAATAGAACATTATTTATGTTCTTAATAAACCAGAAAGTGTATATATTCTACTTTAGTTCTATATAATAGTTTATTTTGTTATAGTATACATAATTATTATTATATATTATTCACATTTTTAAAAGTACATTTTAAATTAATTGTAAATAGTTTTTTTTTCTTTACAAGAGAGCATTGTCGGTATAATCACTATAAGTTAAGTGCAGTTAGTTATACAATAGTAGTACTATATTTTAATGGTACAGTTTGTTATATATATTTATATAAAAGAAGGAAAATTACATGGTCCACAGTTTCCTGAAATGAATCCCTAGTATCCTTAATCATTGTTCATTATAGGAACAATTTAATATTACTATATTGCATAGAAAGCTATTCTCAGTAGAAGAATACAAAGACATGTAATGATTATCCACGCTCTTGTTAAATACCTTACAATTTTTACTAATTTTATATCTATTATGAGTTGATATTTGTATAATTACAAATAATATCATGAAATAGATTTAAATTGGTATAAATATTACATAAATAATAATGATAAAAGAAATATGTATGCATACATTTACATAGTTTCATATATACGACTACATTTACACATATACATTATAAACATGCTTTTATGGTTTCACATTACTATCTTTTGAGTTCGTAGAATCGTCCACTTTCAAATTTACTGAATTCTCTTCAACCTTTAAGTTTGCTGTATTACGAGCAGTTAGCTTTTCTACAAATTTTTCTACCATTCCAACATCTTGTAAGCCAATAAATTTTTCTAAAACTAAACCATTTGATATTGCAAATACAGCAGGTACTGCTTTCACACTAAATACATCAGCTAAATCTGGATTTGATTCTAGATTAATAATAGCAAGATCTAATGTCTCCATAGGCTCAATAAGTTCTATTAATTTAGGTGTTAATACTGTACACGGATCGCACCAATCTGCATGAAAATTGACAACAACTGTCCCTTTACCATTCATTACTTTATCATTAAATTCGATGTTACTATTTATCTCGTAAACTTTTTTCTTTTGATGAGATAATGAGATACGACGTATCCACATCGGAAATGATTTGTTAATATTCCGCAACATTATAAATTTGTGTTATTAATTTTATTTAACATAAAAAATCTGATCCGTTTATAATTACAATACTATATTTAATATATTTGTAGTTGGACAATTCACTGGACAGATTTTATCAAACTTGCAATCTAGAAGTAAATAAAAAATATATTTTTGTAAGTAAAACTTATAATACAAAAATATATATACATTAAATTAAGACAATTGTTTAGGAAATAGATAGTGTGACTAGTACCTTTAATAATCAGAAAATCCAATTAGATACGCGCACAGGTCTGACAGATTCTAGTAATTGAAATTTGATATATGCCAAAATTCCAATTATAGATGAAATCAGTAGTAAAGTAAATAATATTATACGCCAAATAAAAAGATGATCATAAGGCTAAAAAATATAATTATACCAAAGATAATACGGATAAGATAAAATGAGAGATAGCCATAAAAATATTCTAGCATATTGCTAGAGAAAAATTAAGTTAACTAAACAAACATAATTATTTATTCTCTACGTACCTTTCTTTCATTGACATTAGGTTTATCAGAAGCTCGAGGAATACTGAACAAAATTATAGTAAGAAGACCTATGACAATTATGATAACCGAACCAATTTTCTTCTCTATTCGTAATGATATTAAAAAAGTTATTATTGCAATTGCCCATAAAGTTAGAATCAAGAACAATCCCGTACCAATGCCAAATATCAAAGTAGACATATCTTTGCTAGGATAGACATAACCATAACACAATAATAAATAAATGATATATATAAAACATAAATATAAATAACATAAGATAAAAGAAATATATAGTATTTGATAATTTTTCTTTCAAATGTATTCACTAATTATTTATATAGTTATCAAGTTTTTATATAAACTTGTTTTTAAAATCCTATTATACTCACTTCAATCCATCTTCTTTTCTATGTGAATTAAAAGTATTTTGAAGAAAATCACAGCTTATATTCTTCAGAAGTTACTTCCAGAGATATTCTATAAAATAATAATAGAAACATTGTATATATTCAACATATATTAACAATTTTTTTAATTAAAATCAAACTTACACCAATTATATTAATAAATTTATTGTTAGTATAAAAATATGATGATCACATCACTGAATGTATATAAATACTTACTTCCAAATTTATCGAATAAATAAATTTGTAATCCATTTACAAACAGAAAATCTATACATACGTATGATATAATATGTAATCATATTTATCTTTAGAAAATTTTGTATTCACAAAACTAAATTATCGACAGTGCTGGACATATTACAACGGTCGGTAATATAGTTCAATTCTATGTATGACAATTTCTATTTCTAAAAGTATATATTATACTTATATATCATATATATATATATATATACACTTTTGCATTAATGCTCTTTTATAATAAATAAATTTGTAATAAAAAAAAAGTGTAAATATGAAAATAAATGCAATTGTTCTTTTTAAATAAATATTTGATTTGTGCAGTGCATCTTATATTTTTAATTATTAGAATTAGCTTTATACTTAAATTAAAAATTAAAAATCGAAAATTCTTGCTATTGGTTTCAAGTTGCTATTGGTAATAATATTCTGTTCAAAAAGTGTTTAATATTCATTAAAATACTTACGCAATATTTTGTTAGATTGTGTTATAACCTTGACATTTATTATCATTTACAAAAAATATCATTTAAAAGTTATTAAAATTAGTATGACATACTAAAACTAACGAGAACATTATAGAAATGACTACAATTATGAAGCTATCAAAATTTAATATTGTGCCAGCTATAAAAAAACATACTGCTACTTTATTTTTCTTTCACGGTTCTGGTAAATAACATTTATATATATATTAAATAAAGTGATTAAAGATGGGAAAGAAAAAAAGTATAATGAAGAAAAGTTTACGTAATGACATGTTTTTCTATTTTGAATAAATATATAAGCATTCTAATTTTCTTATATCAGGAGATTCTGGAGACAATGTGAAGGCATGGATTGATTTACTATGCAGAAAAGAATTAAAGTTCCCTCATATAAAAATAGTTTATCCTACTGCACCTGCTCAACCTTATACGCCAAATAATGGAATGGTAATATTTCAATTTTACTAATGTTTAATCAAGAAAAAGTTAAAATCGTTGTTTATGGATACATCGTGCTGTAATACACATCCAATTAAAATTATATTTTTATAGCTTAGCAATGTATGGTTTAATCGTAAAGATATTTCAAATAATGTTACTGAAGAAGAACAGTCCATCAAATTAATTTGTCATACCGTGATGGAGTTAATAAATGCAGAACATTCTAATGGAATCCCATATAATAGAATAATTGTAGGTGGTTTTTCAATGGGTGGAGCATTGTCATTATATTTAGCATATAAATTTAATTTATCGTTAGGTGGTTGTGTTGCAATGTCGTCATTTCTTAACAAAAATTCATTAGTATATCAGGTATGTATATATATATATATATCTATTATAAAGATTTAATTATTACTTTTTACATTTAATTATAACATTATACTATTTATTCATTATTACATAAAATTTGTTATTACAGCATTTAGAAAATAATAAACCAAATAAGATGCCACCACTTTTGCAATTTCATGGTTGTTCGGATACACTAGTTCCAATTCAATGGGGGGAAGAAACTTATAACAATCTTAAAAAGCTTGGTGTAAATGCAACATTTGTTCCATTACAGAGAACAGAGCATGAATTAATTGAAACAGAAATTCAACATTTTATATGTTGGGTTAATAATATTGTAAAAGAACAATAATTATATTATAAAAAATTATTTAACAAAAAAATA